ATTGCACTGCTACTCGTGTGATATTGCTCATATATGTTTGTAAGTGTATATATATATATATATATATATATATATATATATATATATATATATATATATATATATATATATATATATATACTAAAGGATTTTTTAGCACAGCATCAGAAATTATTGCATCTTAACGTCCTGCATCAGAAATAACTCCTCTCCCTCGGTCATTTTTCCATCAAGCAAGTTTCGGTTGGCAATGACGCAAACCATAGATGGCAGTAATGCACCAAAAAGTTTGTTGTCGAACACTGTAAAACAGAAAGAAGAAGAAATCAGTATTATGAGAACGTCTATACACATCAGACGGACCCTTTGACTTATCCCGGCCAATTAAATACCCTTAAAAATGAAATGCATGTTTCAAAAACAGCCCAAATCCTCTAGATTATCCAATAACCCAACAAGAACTCAGCGGAAAGCTGATATCTCCTAAAGGTGCAGTAGGTAAGTTTGACAGCCAGTGCATTCCTGGATCAAAACAAGCACAAGCTGTCACGAAAGAGGACTGGAGAAGACAATGCAGAACCATCTGCGTAAAAACAGCCAGAAAAGCATGAAATGTGTGCAACATGTCGAAACAGTCATGTGTGTTTGAAAAGACACATGAGGGAAGAGTGAAGTTTAGATATTTGAACAAGGCAAGGCAAGTTTATTTATATAGCACATTTCATACACAGTGGCAATTCAAATTGCTTAACATAGACAAGAATAAAAGAGACAAGTGAAATAAAAATAAAAAATAAAAATGAGTAAAAAAAAAAACATAAAAACAGGTCAAATGTGATATAAAAGAATGAAGAAGAGGAGAAAAACATGATAGTGCGATCTGTCGGACGCAGCACAGTGCTCATTCAGTAAAGGCACAGCTAAACAGATGTGTGTTCAGTCTTGATTTGAATGTGCCTAATGTTGGAGCACATCTGATCATTTCTGGAAGCTGATTCCAGCAGCGAGGGGCGCTGTTAGTGGCTGAAAGCAGATTCACCCTGCTTTGACTGAGCTCTTGGACTTCTAGTTTATAAGATCCTAAAGATCTGAGTGATCTGTGAGGTTTGTATTCAGTGAGCATATCTGTAATGTATTGAGGTCCTCCTAGGCATTTAGTGATCTATAAACAAGTAATAATACTTTAAAATCTATTCTGAATGTAACTGGGAGCCAATGTAGAGACCTGAGGACAGGTGTGATGTGCTCTGATTTTCTGGTTCTGGTCAGAATTCTGGCCGCAGCGTTCTGGATGAGCTGCAACTGTCTGACTGTCTTTTTAGGAAGACCAGTGAGGAGTCCATTACAGTAATCCACCCTGCTGCTGATAAAAGCATGAACAAGTTTCTCTAAATCTTCACTGGAAACAAAGCATCTGATTTCTGCAGTGTGTGTGAGATGATAGTATGCTGATTTACTGACTGCTTTGACATGACTATTGAAACTCAGATCTGACTCAAGAGTCACACCAAGATTCTTGACCTTATTTTTTGTTGTTTGACCTTTAGTGCCAAGGTACGCATTCATCCAGAGAACCTCATCTCTGTTCCCAAACGCAATGACTTCAGTTTTCTCTTTGTTTAACTGAAGAAAGTTTTGGCACATCCAACTGTTCATTTCATCAATGCACTGGTAGAGGGTGTCAATGGGGCTGTAGTCATTAGGCAGTAAGGCTAGGTAGATCTGAGTGTCATCAGCAGAGCTGTGGTAGGAGATTTGGTTCTTTCTCATTATTTGGCTCAGAGGGAGCATGTAAAGGTTGAACAGGAGAGGTGCCAGAATCGAGCCTTGTGGGACTCCACATGTCATGGGTGTCCACCTCGACCTATGATCACCTATACTGACATGGACACCTCTACTTTCAAGGTAAGATCTAAACCATTTGAGGACAGTGCCAGTCAGCCCAACCCAGTTTTCCAGCCAGTATGCTGTGATCGACAGTGTCAAATGCAGCACTGAGATCGAGCAATACCAGCACTGTTATTTTACCTGAATCTGTGTTTAGACGTATATCATTGATTATATTTATAAGAGCGCTCTCTGTACTGTGATGTGCTCTGAAACCAGATTGAAAATTGTCTAAACACCCCCTGAAGTTTAAGAACTTGTTGACCTGGTTAAAAACAACTTTTTCAATGATTTTGTCAATGAAAGGGAGATTTGAGATTGGCCTGTAATTGCTCAATAGGGTGTTATCCAGGTTGCTCTTCTTCAAGAGGGGTTTAACAACTGCAGTTTTAAGTGAGTTTGTAAAAATCCCTGAGAGAAGTGAAGCATTTACCACTTTTAGGAGATCCATTTCTAAACAGGTAAACACCGTTTTGAAGAATGATGTGGGGAGCGTGTCAAGACTGCTGGTTGATGTTTTTATAATTTGCACAATCTCTTCTAAGATTTTACCATTACATAATACATAATGTCTGATTTCTTAAGTTGTGGTTGAGCTAGTTTGACTGCGACACAACTTGGCTGATTGGATGAGCTGATTGCCTTTCTGATCCCTGCTGAAAAATCCAGCTTAAACCAGCCTAGGCTGGTTGACTGGTTTTAGCTGGTCGACCAGGCTGGTTTTAGAGGGGTTATGGCCATTTCCAAGCAGGTTTCCAGCCATTTCCAGCCTGGTCTTAGCTGGTCAGGCTGGAAAATTACCAGCCAAATCCAGCTAAAACCAGCTTGACCAGGCTGGTTTAAGCTGGATTTAGCTGGTTTTGGCTGGACTCCCAGCTTGGCTAGGCTGGTCAAGCTGGTTTAAGCTGGTCATCTCCCAGCCTGACCAGCTAAGACCAGGCTGGAAATGGCCAAAACTCCTCTAAAACCAGCCTGGTCGACCAGCTAAAACCAGTCAACCAGCCTAGGCTGGTTTAAGCTGGATCTTTCAGCAGAGATATTACTGATCTTGTCAGTAAAGAAATGAGTAAACTCATTACATTTGCTTTCAGAGAGGAGCTCACTGGGAATCCGACTGGGGGGGGTTTGTGAGTCTCTCTATCATTGCAAAGAGTGTACGAGCATTATTTACGTTGCTGTTTATAAGGCTTGTAAAGAAAGGCTTGAAAACACATAAACACTAGTCATGATATCTACGTTTTAGGAACAGCAGATAATGACTTGACTTCTAGTAGACCATTTTGTGTAAGAAGTGTCATATTTGAAAGGCAAAGGCCTCTCGATGACACTTATTTGACCACAGTAAAATATGATCATGCCTTGACTAACATTGTGTTGCACATTGTGTTGTCCAACAGCTGAAATTTTTGTCAAACTGTAGAGTGTCCACTGCTTGTTGCTGTATGTGGGCGGAGTCATACACAAGGGTGAAGGCGGGGTGAAGAGGCAATCAGATGTCAAAAAGATTTAAGAACCATATAACATATATACAGGGCTCGAAATTAACCTTTTTGCTTGGTAGCACCGGTGCTCCTAACTTTAAAAATGTAGGCGCATCAGCCAAAATTTAGTCGCACCCACCAATTATGAGCACCGTTACTACAAGTTTTATACAAACATATTGGTTGTATTTGAAATCAACACTAATCAAACTAACAAGCAAAAAAATTCATATATAACGTTATATGCAAGCGTGAGGAAAATATGTTTCAACAAAATCCCATTATCACAAGAAAATAGATTTTTATAACATAACTGAGTGACCAAAGCATACACAGAGCGCTCACCGGCCCTGCACGCACTGCTTGAATTAACGTGTTAACGGTGTAACTAGTAAGATGTGTCATTATTTGTAACTGTAGATGCCATGGTTTCTAAAACAAAATCTGTCAAGTGTTATGTTATCTTCATTCTCATCTTCAGCGCTTTACAATTTTTCGCGGTAGTAGCTCTCTGTCATCCGAAGCCAGAAGGCACTGAGAGGTTGACAGCTGATATTAACCAATCATTCGTGTTCAGTGTTGCAGTGGTGGGCCAATAAGAAGAGCGCGAAGGCGGGGCAAGCATTACGGACTTGGATTTGTTTACTGCAGCAAGTTGACATGACAACTGTTTTAAACCATTCCCGAGCGCTGCGTTTCGCGTTTCAAGTGCAGAGAAAGAGCTTAGAGATGCTTTTTGCGTGAATGTCTCCCGAATCCGCGCATGTGCTGAACATTTTGCTGTAAAAATTGGACACACACTACAATTTTAAACACTCGCAGAAATGCTCCCAAATATATTTCAAGGTCGCATAGATAAAATTTCGGGCGCATATGCGACCAAAATGGTCGCAATTTCGAGCCCTGTATATAAATATATATAAATAAATATATATATATATATATATATATATATATACACACACACACAACAGTTCTGTCTGGTTCTCGAATCTGATTGGCTGATAGATGTGATATATTTAGTACAGCCTCTTAACCCTTTGTGCATTCCTCCGCCCACATACAGCCAGCAAAAAGCAGACACCACAGATCTACAGTTTAAAAGAAGCTTGCTCAACTGTTTACCTGTCAGCTTATGATTTCAATCCAACGCAGAAGAAAGTAGTTCCTCATACAAAAGAGTTTTTGAGACTCTACATGTTTGATTTTGTTTTTATAAACACAAATATGCTGTCAAACTGTTGTATAAACGCAATATCACACTCGTAGCAGTGCGATATGGCTGTATATCGGCACTGGTGGGACGCTAAGCCACACACCTCCCACCAGTGCCGATATACAGCCATATCACACTGTTACTCGTGTGATATTGCTCATATATATTATACAGCATATTTACTGTATTCCTTTCTATTTTATTACACATAATTGTTATTAGTTTCATCAATATTATTACTACTCTTTTTTTTTTTCTTTTCCCCCTGCTATGTACACTTTGGCAATATGCACCCATGTATTACTCATGCCAATAAGGTGAATTGAAATGAGAGGAAGAGAGTGTGCGTGTGCGAGAGAGAGAGTTTGTGTGTGTGCGTGTGAGAAAGAGAAAGTATGTGTGTGCACGTGTGTGTTCAGATGATCTGCTCATCTTTCAATCATTCTCAGAAAGCCACGATGGAGTTCAGATCATCATGTCTCCTTCTGCTCGTCTGCTTTACCATCATCATCCTCACCGACAACAAAGGTCAGACACACACACACACACACACACACACACACACACACACACACACACACACACACACACACACACACACACACACACACACAAAATGACTTTAATTTTGTCTTTGTTTTCTAGTATAAATAAAAAAAAATGAAAGATTTAAGTGTTTAAAACATTGAAATGAAAGTGTTTTTGCATCAGACAAGTGAGTTTAAATGTAAAGATCTGCCAATAATGTGTTGTTCTGCTTTAAATTCAGTTTAATTTAGGCTTTTTCTTGTTTGAAAGCACAAACTTTTTATTCATAATTGGTTTAATTTGTTTTTTAAATAATAGAAAAAAATTAAAGTACTAAACCAACCAATAAATACATAAATAAATGGTAACACTATTTTAAGTAACAATTCACAGTAATAATTATACCGGCTTAATTCCTGCCTATTATTAACCCTTGTACACTGATCATATATATATATATAATACCCTTTTGTTCTGTCCAGGAAACTGCTGTAAAAGTGCATCAGATTAATGTTTTTTTTTCCATGTTTTTTTGGCATAATTTGTCACGTTAGGCGTAATCAAAACAATAACGGGAACAAAAGATAACGGATTCAAGTGCAGATTTTAATATATTAAAGTGCAAAAACAGTGAACAAAATTCCAAAAATATCAAAGTGCAAAGTAACAAATAAACAACAAAACAAGAAACTAAGACAGATAAACATGAACTAGACTATAGCAAGACAGGAGACAAGATCAGGAACAACGACTAGGAAAAACAGACTTACTAGGTACAAGAAAGACAAACGACGCGATGACAAACAGTGGTTGAATGACTGAATATATAGTCCTGGTAATCACGGAGAATGGAGACAGCTGTGGTTGTAAATCAGTGTAGATGACAGACCGGGTGTGTGTGCGAAAGAATGTATGGAAATGTAGTCTTTATGGGCGCTGTAGTTTCACTACCCTCAGGTGGTCACTGACAGATGTGACATAAATCTGTTAATCAACCTCAGTCCTGATCAAAACTACTAAATTGCTTACAGAATTTTAAGTCTTTAATTGCCAAATTCATAAAGGAAGTCACTGATTTAGTTAAAAAACACTCAAAATTACCTATTTTCAATATGAAAGTAATTGTGGACTGTAAGTTTTTCATTCTTTCTCCATAATTTACTGTTGGTGGCTGTTTTTACTCTATTGACTTCCATTATAAGCACATTTGATGGTGCATAAAACCAACCGACTTTGTTTTTATTTACTGCATGTAGTTCTTAGAGCTGAGATGTATATTTAGATTTACTCAGACACATCAAGGTAAGTGCACAAAGGTCACTTTTACAGATACACAGACACACACTTTAATTTGCTGTTATACGCCGTATAAAATCCAGGAATTAAGCTTTTTTTATCTAAAGGGTTAATGCTGACATCTGATGATCGACAGTATAAGACAGATTGTCCCTCTTCCCAACAGTCAAGAATGCAGGATTATCTGCTGTCATGATTTGTAACCAAATAAATGTGGTTACAATGGAAGTCAATAGGGCAAAAAACTGAAACCAACAGTAAATTAGGGAGGAAAAAATGAAAATCAATCAAAAGCAAGCCATCAAAGAAGATGTTGTGCCCAATACTGATAAAAAAATCCAGTCCACAACTACTTTTATACTGAAAATAGGTCATTTTGTGTGTTTTTTCACCAAATTAGTGACTTCCTTTATGAATTTGGCAATTAAAGAGTTAAAATTCTGTAAGCAATTTGTTGTTTGATCAGGACTGAGGTTGATGAACAGATTTATGCTGAAAAAAAAGAGAAAAAACTGTTTATCTGATGCATTTTTGTTACAGCAGTTTAATTTAGTGGATGTTTTCATCCTGAACATAACATGAGGAATAGTACATTTGCTTGTTGAAATTCATCGTTGAAGCATTTTCTTTTAAATATGTGTCAAAATAAGATTTGACAACAAAAATCATTCTGCTAGCTGAAACACAGAGCACATTATGGCCAAATTAAGACTCAAAATCAGCCCAGAGTGGATGAAAACATCCTCAACAGCACACAAGGGTTCAGATAATTATCATTATTAAAGGCTTAAATATTTCACCAACAGCTAAACTAAAGGATTACCTTACTAAATATGAACGCACTGCTAATTATTAGCTTGTTCAGCTATTAGTGTGGTCTGTTAATAGCGTGACGTTTACATTAAAATAAAGGTGTGACCAAATAAACGTCTGCTAAATTAATTTCTACTCCCTTTAAACTTTGTGTCTGTTTTTAATTGAAAGTTTGATTGTTTTAAAAATGCAGGAAGTTTTTGTTTATGTAATGTTTAGTTACACTAAAAAAACATGGGGTTATTATTTCTACTGAAATCTTGGGTTGAGGCATTTGGCTAGTTTTTTGGGGGTTATTTTCAGAGTCTTGGGTAGTTTCAACCCAGCTTGGGTAGTCTTGGGAGTTTTGGGTAGTTGGGTAGTTTCAACCCAGCTCTTTGGGTCAGATCAACTCACAGCGGGGGCTGACTGGGATACCACATATTATGTGCTAATTTATTTAAATGCAATGAAAATAGTGTAGCATAAACACAGATTCCTTGCGTTGTCAGATGATTAAAATGAGATTTATGCTCATAGCAGCCTTTAGTCAGACCTTTCAAGCACCTTTTGTACACCTGTAATCAAAGCTGCACACCCCCACCGTACTTCAGTGACCCCGAGTCAAAACAACACAATTGCTGGGTCATCTTTCACAAGCATTTTTGGATCAAATTAACCTATTATTTAAGTAAAAAATAACCAATTATTGGGTAGAAAACAAACCATTTATTAGGTTAAAAATAATAACCCAATCACTTGGGTTAATTTAACACCTGATGTGTTCTGTCTCATATTTACCCAGCAGTAGGGTTAAAAACAACCCAATTTGGGTAGTCTTTAAGCCTGTGTTTTGTTAGTTCTTGTATGATCTTAAATCAGGATCCAAATAAACACTTTTACTGAAAATGTAAGTTAAGGATTCAGCAATTTAGAATATTTCAGTTTATTTCCTTGATGCCATTATTATAACTATATCATTCAGTAATTAATTTTCTTTTCGGCTTAGTCTCTTTATTTATCAGAGGTCGCCACAGTGGAATGAACCACCAACCATTCCAGCATAGGTTTTACACAGTGGATGCCCTTCCAGCCGCAACCCTACCCAACACTGGGAAACACACATACACTCTTGCATTCACACTCATATACTACAACCAATTTAGCTTATTCAATTCACCTGTCATTGGACTGTGGGGGGACACCGGAGCACCCGGAGGAACACAGAGAGGACATGCAAACATGCAAACTCCACACAGAAACACCAACTGACCCAGCCGAGGCTCAAACCAGTGACCTTCTTGCTGTGAGGCAATCGTGTCACCCACTGCGCAACTATTATAACAAAAAAAAATTAAATAACTTAAAAAATAAAACTTAATGCCAATTGAACACATTTCTAAACTTTACATTAATTAAGGATCATTTATTTATATATTTTTACTGAAAACTTAGACCAAAAACAAATACTACTGGGGCGACACGGTGGCTCAGTAGTAAGCACTGTGGCCTCACAGCAAAAAGGTTGCTGGTTTGAGCCCCGGCTGGGTTAGTTGGCATTTCTGTGTGGAGTTTGCATGTTCTCATCGTGTTGACGTAGGTTTCCTCCGGGTGTTCCGGTTTCCCCCACAGTCCAAACACATGCGCTATAGGGGAATTGATGAACTACATTGTTGCGTATGAGTGTCTGTGTGAATAAGTATGTATGGATGTTTCCCAGTACTGGGTTGCTGCTAGAAGGGCATCCTCTTTGTAAAACATATGTTGGAATAGTTGGTGGTTCATTCTGTTGGTGGTTTAATAGCTTTTATTTGTTAAACGTTTCTTTTATATTCAGCTTTCTTCTCTGTCTCTCTGTACTCCTATATACAGTACTTTGGTCAACCTTAAATGTTTTTAAATGTGCTTTATAAATAAATATTGTATTGTATTGTATTCCACTGCGGCGATCCTGATAATTAAAGGGACTAAACCGAAGGAAAATGAATGAATGAATAAAACTTAATGTCAAAAGTCAAAAGTTTCTAAAATTGATAGTGATTTAGGAATATTTATTTAGATGTTTTTAGTGGAAAATTAGACCAAAAGGCAAAGACGACTTTTTTCTTTCTGCTCTCTTCAAAGCTTTGTTGCCATTTCAAACTCCAAAATCTCCTACTTTAATTTAGTTGCAAATAGTTTAAGTTTGCTTCACTACTTTCACATTTATGCATTTATTATCATTAGTAACATTTATGCAGAATATTATATGCATATTCCTGTTTGAGTTTAGTTTATTTCTGTTTAGTCTCTGCTCTGCGTATACTGTATATGGGTGTTTCTACACTCTCAGATATAAAGGTATGGGAGCTGTCACTGGGGAAGTAGCTTTTTAAAAGATACATTTTTGTACTCAAATTAACCTAAAAAAGTATCTTTGAGGTACCGTTATGACAGTGACAGCTCCTGTACCTTTATTTCTGAGAGTGTAGAATTACAGGGACATTTTGCCTCTCCTAAATAAACAAACTATCATGAAACTGTTTCGAAGAGCATCAATCATAATTTGGTAGTTTTCTTTGCCTCCTGAATCATTCATTCAGCTTCAAATATCATCAAATAATCATCAAAATAATCTTTTGTGTGTTTACTATACAAGTTGAATAAACATTTGCATAAAACATCTAAATAATATCAACTCTGTTATCGTCAATTCTGTTAACCATCAACTCTGTTATCGTAAACTCTGTTATCGTCAACTCTGTTATCATCAACTCTGTTATCATCAACTCTGTTATCGTCAACTCTGTTATCATCAACTCTGTTATCGTCAACTCTGTTATCGTCAACTCTGTTATCGTCAACTCTGTTATCGTCAACTCTGTTATCGTCAACTCTGTTATCGTCAACTCTGTTATCATCAACTCTGTTATCGTCAACTCTGTTATCCGTCAACTCTGTTATCGTCAACTCTGCTGTCCGTCAACTCTGTTATCGTCCACTCTGTTATCCGTCAACTCTGTTATCGTCAACTCTGTTATCGTCAACTCTGGTATCCGTCAACTCTGTTATCCATCAACTCTGTTATCATCAACTCTGTTATCCGTCAACTCTGCTATCCTTCTGCTATCCGTCAAGTCTGTTATCCTGTCTGTTATCGTCAACTCTATTTCTGTCAACTCTGTTATCTTCAACTCTGTTATTTTCAACTGTTATCCTTTAACTCTGCTATCCTTCAACTCTGTTATCATCAACTCTATTTCTGTCAACTCTGTTATCTTCAACCCTGTTATTGTCAACTCTGTTATCGTCAACTCTGCTATCCGTCAACTCTGTTATCGTCAACTCTGTTATCGTCAACTCTGTTATCGTCAACGCTGTTATCCGTCAACTTTGTTATTCGTCAATTTTGTTATTCGTCAACTCTGTAATCGTCAACTCTGTTATCCGTCAACTCTGTAATCGTAAACTCTGTTCTCCGTCAACTTTGTTATCCGTCAACTGTTATCGTCAACTCTGTTATCGTCAACTCTGTTATCGTCAACTCTGTTATACGTCAACTCTGTTATCGTCAACTCTATTATCATCAAATCTGTTATCGTCAACTCTGTTATCCGTCTACTCTGTTATACGTCAACTCTGTTATACGTCAACTTTGTTATCGTCAACTCTATTATCCGTCAAGTCTGTTATCATCAACGCTGTTATCGTCAACAATGTTATCGTCAACGCTATTATCGTCAATGATGTTATCTGTCAACTCTGTTATCCAACAACTCTTATCGTCAACTCTGTTATCCGCCAAGTCTGTTATCGCCAACTCTGTTATACGTCAACTCTGTTATCCAACAACTCTTATCGTCAACTCTGTTATCCGCCAAGTCTGTTATCGCCAACTCTGTTATACGTCAACTCTGTTATACGTCAACTCTGTTATCGTGAATTCTATTATCCGCAAACTCTGTTATCGTCAACTCTTGCTATCGTCAACTCTGTTATCCGTCAACTCTGTTATCGTCAACTCCGTTATCATCAACTCTGTTATTTGTCAACTTTGTTATCGTCAACTTTGTTATCCGTCAACTCTGTTATCCGTCAACTCTGTTATTTGTCAACTTTGTTATCGTCAACTTTGTTATCCGTCAACTCTGTTATCCGCCAACTCTGTTATCATCAATTCTGTTATTTGTCAACTCTGTTATCGTCAACTCTGTTATCGTCAACTTTGTTATCATCAACTTTGTGATCTGTCAACTCTGTTGTCCACCAAGTCTATTATTTGTCAACTGAGTTATCCGTCAACTCTGTTAGTGGTTTAAAAAGTAGCTGTAGAATAAGCAAAAAAAAACAACAATTAGTAACAGAATCAAATATATTCGCATTGTGCAATATTTTACATTATAGATGCGTTCAGCATACTGTAAATGATACATTTCTTGTACATCATTCCAGTTCAGGGAAATTGAATGGAAAATGACTGAAATGTACCGGTAATTCTGGAATGAATGATTATGGGTCATTAATGAGTTTCGTTAACTCTTAAACACACAGTGAGTCACTCTGGGTGACACTGATGTGCTCAGACATGCATCACCTCTAAAAGCTTTTATGAGAATATCGAACATGCCTTTTTATTAATAAAGACGCCTCTGTGTCTGTGAGATGTTTATTGTTGGAGGGCTTCATTAATGTGATATAAGCTGTTCAGTAGCAGATGTTGTTTTTGTTCCAGCAGGTGCAGCCATTCCAACATGCTGTCTGAGTGTTTTACGCAGAATCCCTAAACGTGTACTGCGATCGGTCAGAACATATGAGGTCCAGGACACATCTGGACACTGTGAGATTAAGGCTCTAATGTGAGTGTGTATGTGAGCTGATGCTCTTTGCTGTGTGTATGTTTTTGACTCTTATAAAGCTTAAAAATACTTCAATATGTTGGCAGATAGTTTAGAAACATGCTTCGTGAACATTCCTGTTTATCTGAAAAACAGCCGGTAATCAACGAGATCAGCCGAGCGCAGGTGGGGGCGGTGTTATAAAACGAAGCCGTCAAGCCGGACACATCGGGGGCTCAAAGTTGCACCAGTCATGATGATCGGTCACATGGCGTGGTCATTTATTAATATATTGAAATAACCACAAAAGATATACAGAACAAATAAATCAGAATATAGTCTCTACAACCTATAGTAAATTTTTAAACAATAAGGGAATTATGAATTAAATTTAAGTAGTCATACATAACAAATGCATGAGAAATAAGGGAAAAACAAGAGGGCACATTAAAAAAAATATCCATGAATTAATAGGATAATGGGATTATTTTGGATAATAAAAGCATTTTTAAAATAGCACTTTAATCCAAAAAGATTGAGCAAAATGACCAAAATAAATGAGCTACACTTTAAGTAGAAATTTCCCAGAAAGAGCACATCAATGTCACTTTAAACACTTGTGCATAAACGGCTTGACAGGAAATAAAATATTTTATAATCATATTTTTTATATATTATATAACTTAATTTGTTGAGAAAGCTTTAAAGGGGTGTCAGGATCAATGATGATTATTTTATTACAACTCTGTAAGACTTATTTGAGGTAATATTTAGGTTATTCACTAAGTGAAGTTTATTTATAAACTAATTTCAAAAGGACCATGTGATTATATTTGAACACGGCTGGTTCTGCATTAGCTATGATCCACCAATCAGGCCAGTCCTAACGCCCTATTCACACGGGGCTTCAGCGTCAACGTTTGACTGAAGGCCTGTCTGAAGTTAGGGCTGAAGCGATCATCATAGCAGCGTCAGCCAATGAAATTCAGTCAGCAATAGGCCACTGTCTAGCTGGTGTATTTGCATACAGCGATCTGATTGGCTGACGCTTCCCAACTTTTAGTCCCAACTTCTGTAGCGAGCAAAGCCTCTGAAGCGGCGCCGACGGATCCTCAATGCAGTTCGGCAGCGCCTGACGTCACCCGTTTAAAGCGAATGGGAAGCATTGACGCTGACACCCCATGTGAATGGGGCGTGACCCACTATAAAGAGTCAGGGTTTCTTACTACAGCCATCTTTGATTTGAAGAATCCCCCCTTCCACCCCTACTTCTCCACCTTTCCCTTTATACGGTAGCACGGTGGCCCAGTGGTTAGCACTGTTGCCTCAAAGCAAGAACGTCACCGGTTCTAGTCCTTTAGTTCTGTGCGTAGTTTGCATGTTCTTCCCGTGCTCGTGTGGGTTTTCCTCGGGTTCTCCGGTTTCCTCCCACTTTCCAAAAACATGCACAACAAGTGAACTGATCAATCTAAATATAGCACTACAGTCAATCTATCATCCAGCAGCATAGCTCTTCATAGCTATCATTTTAGTCATCAGCTCATATCAAGGAGGAAGTTGTCGAGATCTACCTGAACTCGAAGCTCCCCTCTCGCCCTGCAAATGGGAGGGAGCCCAGGGCTCAAAGACCTTTTGGGCTCAGGGCTCTTTCCTGGGACAGCATGCCAAACTTGCTTATAATCAATCATCAGCCAAGTCTGAACTCTTGAAATATATAATTTGAATTGTTCATGGAGCTGATTGCAGTCTGTATAAAAAAACTGAATAAACCTGTGCAAACAATCTAGCCATTATGAACAAGTTATTGAACAAAAGATGACACTGCAGTAAAATATGTGTGATGTGTACAGGATAGAGAGGCTATGAAAAGTGAATTGTTTGGTTTCGAAGTTTGCAAATCGGAATTTGTCCAATAATAAACCTAAAACACACGTGGTTGTTGTCAAGCGCTCTTCAAATGCTGCACTGGCTGAATAAGTCATGTGATCATGAAGCGCTGTCGTGGTACTTTGATGCCACATGTGACTGTCACATGGCGTCAGCGCAGTGTCAATCCGGACAACATTTTTAACCAGCATGCAGAGCCTAAAAACACCTGTTCTCTTTTAAAAATGTTCTTTTTTCTGGTCTTTTTCTGGTTTTCTAAGTCCGCCCACTGCCTGCTTAAAGAATATACATATTACAATCATAAACCTTAGCCGTGCAGGTTAAATTGTATCAGTGTCCTAACAACACGCAATGTGAAAATATTCCAACAACAAACAATTTGACTTTCTGCATGCAATGCAACATGACAGAAACATTTAAATACAGGCATTCAGAAGCACAGAATAATACACTGCACTTTAACTAAATGGTAAGGTTTATAATCTAATTTATACATATAAAACCTCTTTTACATTTTTAAAAAGTACACGCTAAAAGTGACTGATGTTTGTTGGTTTGCACAGTTCAGACTTCAATTTTAAAATATTCTATTTTATTTTCAAGATCTGAGGTAAAATGTCTGCTGCCACTTTCAGAATGGCGATAAACGTCACAATAAATGATTTTCAAAACTTATATTTGTAGCATTGAACACTGAATAAAGCAGATAATCCGTACCTGAGGTGATTTTTCTAAGAGTAGTTTGCTTTTGTTTAGTTGAGAGAAACAGAAACCGTTTCTAAAACAGAATTTTCAGGTGATGGTTTGGACAAAATCTGGCAACCTGTAATCAGAGGCGGCGCTGGGTTAAAAAGTGTTTTGATGTGAGCTGCAATACCCAGTTCAACCACTGGGTGTCAATCGTACCTACTCCACCTATAAATACTGTTTTTAAATTTGCTGTAAATATAAGTTTAGCTAAAATATTATTCCGACACCAACCCGCTATAACGTCATCCCCTCTGACCCCGTTTACACTACTGCGTTTTAGTTTTAAAACAGCATTTTAGATCAAAAATGATCCTGAACATATAGCATTTCTGAAAATATCTCCGTCCACACTACGCCACCAAAAACGTATATGACGTGACCATTCGCACACTCTGGGCATGCGCGTTCTAGTATAAACAGAAAGCATGCGTCTCGCTCTGCATTTGGTTATTGTTAGTCAATAAACGCCGGTTAAACAATAAACGCGATGGCACAGAAAGCAAGAGAGGTACTTTTGTGGACAGACGACGAGGTTGAGTTGTTACTAAACGTAACAAATGAAAAACTGCACAATGGCGCCTAAAACAGACAATAGTGCAAACAACGATGATCCCTCGGTTCCAGCTCGCATCTCAGCCTGCCTGTTGGATATTTCACACTGGATGAAAGATCATCATCTTCAGCTGAACCTCGCAAAAACGGAAATGCTTGTAGTTTCTGCCAACCCGACTCTACACCATAACTTCTCAATCCAGATGGATGGGGCAACCATAACTGCATCCAAAATGGTGAAAAGCCTTGGAGTAACGATTGATGACCAACTAAACTTCTCTGACCACATTTCTAGAACTGCTCGATCGTGCAGATTTGCACTCTATAACATCAGAAAGATTCGACCCTTCTTATCAGAACATGCAGCTCAACTCCTTGTTCAAGCTCTTGTTCTCTCCAAACTGGATTACTGCAACACTCTACTAGTTGGGTTTCCAGCTAACTCTATCAAACCTCTTCAGCTGCTCCAGAACGCAGCAGCACGAGTGGTCTTTAATGAACCTAAAAGAGCACATGTCACTCCGCTGCTCATCCGTTTGCACTGGCTGCCAGTTACTGCTCGCATCAAATTCAAAGCTCTGATGTTTGCCTACAAAGCGACTTCTGGCTTTGCTCCTTCTTATCTGCTCTCACTTCTGCAGATGTATGTGCCCTCCAGAAACTTGCGTTCTGTGAATGAACGTCGCCTCGTGGTTCCATCCCAAAGAGGGAAGAAATCACTTTCGCGAACGCTCACGCTCAATCTGCCCAGTTGGTGGAATGAACTCCCTAACTGCATCAGAACAGCAGAGTCACTCGCTGTCTTCAAGAAACGACTAAAAACTCAACTATTTAGTCTCCACTACACTTCCTAATCTGCAATTGTCTCTCTGAATATCACACTAACTGTACCAAAAAAAAAAAAATACTACTAATACTTCCCTTCTTAGACTTTACAGACCTGAAACTTGCCTACAGCACTTATTCATTGTTGCTCTTAGTTGTGTAAGTTGCTTCCTTGTCCTCATTTGTAAGTCGCTTTGGATAAAAGCGTCTGCTAAATGACTAAATGTAAATGTAAACAACGCTCCATTTCTGTGCCCTTGTTGTTGTATACAGTGAAGGCTGGTCTGCTGTCCTCCGGTAGCGTTAAAGCCATGTGTTATAGTCATGTGATAGAGGCTTGATGAATAAGGGAAGGATAAGCAATGACACAAAAGCCCCAATCAGGTGGCGAATCTCAGCAGCCCCACCTCCGTTTTCAGATGTCTCCGTTTTCCCCCATCCACACTGAGACCGAGCAGCACCGTTTCCAACGCGTTTCCAAAACCCTCCATTTTCGGCGCTCGAAAACTCTGGTGTAGTGTGGACGGATGGCTTAACCATAGCAAAACTTATGCGTATTCAAACTAAAACGCATTAGTGTAAACAAGACCTAAATCGCCAAAAGACTGATTAAACATTGGAGAATTGTTGCTCTGACATGGACATGAGGGTAATAAACGACTGAAAAACTGATGCGGGTGAGGTATATTGATCGCAAGTGCTCAGTTTGTGATCACATCTCTATTTTTTTCTCTTAATATGTGACCCAAATATTCGTAGTTTTTTTAAACAGATTGATTTATGACTGGATTGGGCTGCTTTTACGGCCCCTCACACAGCGTGATCCACGCTGGCATTCCTCCCCTTAGGTATTAAGGTGTTGGAAAGTGAAATAACATTCCACCACCCAAGGCCGTAGGTTTGCATTTGACATTGGTGGGGATGGGTGAATTATTGTATATTCCAAGAATGACTATCGTTTTATATTGTATACACAGTTGAGGTCAGAATTATTTGTGCATTATTTGTACAAATATATATTTTTCTTTTTTTAAATATTTCCCAAGTGATGTATAACAGAGCAAGGACATTTTCACAGGATGTCTGATACTATTTGTTCATCTGGAGAAAGTCTTATTTGTTTTATTTCGGCTAGAATAAAACACAGTCGAGCAATCACAACAGATTGGGACATAGGGGCAATCAGTGCAGATTAGCATCATGCTAAGGAGGGGTTAGGGAACAAATGAAGCTGCGGTCACACTTGACTTTTCTCCCCATAGACTTCCATTCATACACACGCGAATGGGCCAGACCGGAAACGCAGGGTCATGCGCTAATGCGGTGCTTGGTGAACTCTGACCTGCGAAATCGCATCACTTGACTGCGTGAGACCAATCGAGGATCAAAACACGACCTCTCTGGACAGAAATTTAAAACATGGAGCAATCGCTCGCTTTTTTTAATGTCTAATAATCTTGTTTAATCCCACCTCTTTTCGCAGCACTGTACGACAGAATTTCGCAAGCTCAAACTCTTGACTGAACGCAGCTTGAATCGCTAAACGAGTCATATCCCTAGTAGCAAAGAATTCTGGCCCAGATTTGGCATAAAGCTGGCACAGCAGGCATTCATCCGGCACTGGCATACAGCATGTGGGCCAAACATGGCCCGGGTTTGGCAGAGGTGGCACCGTTTTTAAGGCGGCACACAAGATTTGGGCCAGATGAAAAACGTAGTATTTGGCCCAGATTTAAAAATTTGATAAGTGGGCCATGTGAGTTTGGCCAGTCTTGACCCACATTTAAAATACACTAAAATCATTTTTGAGTAAAGAATAAAAATTCTACCAATCAGGTCACTTTGAGAAAAAGCGTGCCCATAGTGTGCCTAAAGCGCATCACTCCATGGGTTTATCAATTTCATTGCAATCGTGACACACCAACCTATCTGGCCCAGTTCAGGCCCAGTTATGAGTTATTAACTTGGCTGAGACTTGGCCCAGATATGGTCCGTGTTTGGCCCTTGTCTGGAAGCCAGATTTGGTCCAGTCATGTACCGTAATTCACTGCGGCATGTGGACCAAGCAAAACCTGATTGTGTGGGCCAGAGCTGGGCCAGAGAAATTTTGCTATGTGGGATGGGAATCGCTGAGGTAATCAGGTAAAAACAAATGCATGTTATTATTAGACAACGAAAGTGTTTTTTGACCTTGCAGGTCGAGAGTTCACCAAGCTTGAACTCTGCACCGCAGCAACCTGCAAAACAACACATGACCCTGCATTTCCGTTCTGACGCATTCGCGTGCATATGAATGGAAGTCTATGGGAGGAAAAGCCCAGTGTGACCGCAGCTTTAGCCACTACATCAAAAAGTTACGAATTGCCGTGAGATTGCGTTAAAAGTAATCAACAGTGTCACGTTTGTATTTGCTAAGATCTGATAATATTATTGCGCTTGGCATAGGCCATGTGTTTATTGTTTTCTGATGAGAGTTTCATTTTAGCGATGGCTGCGGCGAGTCGGCAGTTGCTCTAATATTAAATAGCCAATTTGACCTAAAACTTTTCACTGAGCTCAGTAAAATGTTCTTTGATAACCTCCACTAATGCATTATTAGACAATGTCTGTAAACAGTTGTGTCTTTCTGCTCTCCAGATTACACTTCAAGGGGAAGAAAATCTGTGCTCATCCCAAACTGGAGAGATTCTTGAAGAAAATGCTGAAGCACAAACCTAAAAAGCCTTAAAGGAAAGAGCTTCAGGCTGAAATCACGGATACAGACGGCTTCAGGACTCTTCATCTACATTTTATGTCTTTAAATCTGTTTATTTTTATATAAAAGTAATCATGTAATGTTTCCAGCTGATGCTTCAGACAGTGTGTGTGGCGATATACTGTGTGTGTTACGCTCTAATATCAACTAATAAACACTTGTTTCAGTTTTGGCGGATTTTTCACTCTAATGAAATTAAGAAACACACACACACACACACACACACACAAAATCACACACAAACATCACACAAACACTCTCATACAAACACACACACATGCAAACATACACATACATTCACACACACGCACACACACAAACACTCATATAAACACACACACACATGCACACACACAAACATACACACAAGCACAGTTGCACACACTCACACACATTATGCACACTGTCTTTAACACAAACACACTCAAAAACACATTTATGCACATGCACACACAAACAAAAATACAAACACAAACGCACATACACACACTCATGCACACACTCTGTCTCACACTCAAATGCACATTTATGCACATGCACACAAACACACATAAACAAACACATGCATGCACACTCTGTCTCACATACACACACACACACACACACATAAGTAATAAGTAAATAAAAAGATTAACTATATGCAAATTAGTATTTAGTAAATACACAAATGAATTAACAAAAATTGAACAAATAAAGAACCATGAATAAACTTTAAAATTAAAGATTATCTAGCTAAAACTCTCGTTGATTGGCTGATGTTGTCTCCGCCCACTCACTCTGCACCAATGAGATCTCTGATTTCTCACAGCTGCTTGTTTATTATATTTACAATATAAACGCCGGCGCGTATTTCAGTGACTAGTGACTCAATTATGACAGACATGACTTTGATCAAACAAAGGGTTAAAACTATGAGTCTTCAACTAAAACATTGTGTTTATATACATCAAGTTTTGAGCGGAGAACCTGACGTGAAAAGATCTTGAACGCTTCATAAACTCACCTGCTTTCCAGGATAGCTTCAGATCCAGATGCAGATGCAATCCTTACAACATCATTCCCCGAATTAAAGAGGTTGTCCACATGTTAGCTCTAGTTTCTCTATGGGTTTGTTGACTCCTGTACGGTTGAGATAAGTTTACATTAGTTTAGTGCACGAGGAGGAAGACTTAATTGGTCTCTGCTGCCCTCTAGTGGTGCTAATCTGAGTGGCATGGCAAATGAAATAGTGCTTCATTTGCATATTTAAACATTATGTTTTAGGGAATTTTATATAATTTAAACTGAATATAATCAAATTATAATATAAAATATCAAATATAATACAATATATGTTTGCAATAGCAATGTAAACAATCAACTGGGGAAGTGTGTTGGTAGCTATTAGTTAGTTATTTACTCCTTCATTTTATTATTATTTCATTATTGAAGTGTATTGGACAAAACCAACTCTACCTACTAACCCGGTATTAAAATGGCAGTATTTTCAATTGTGAATGTTTTAAGGGATTTTTTATGTATTTAACAGCATTATTATACTAGATTTATGACACTTATTGTGCAATAAACATGTAAAACAGTGTGTTCCTATTAAAAGGTTCATTCACTCAATTTAATTAATATAAAAATATTGTTCTATTAATGAAAAGCGTTTTTAGTTTTTCAATTCATTCATTCTTTTATTTAATTTTTGGTTTAGTCCCTTTATTAATCAGGGGTCACCACAGCGGAATGAACCACCAACTTATCCAGCATATGTTTTACACAGCAGATGCCCTTCCAGCTGCAACCCAGTACTGAGAAAAGGTTTAAAATTATTATTATTAATTTATTAAATTCTATTATCATATTTTGTGAAATAAATAATTAATATGTCAACAACACCTTATATATAATGCAATTTTACAGCTTATATAATATTTAAATGTGTATAATTTAAAGCAGAAACACACTCTCTGTTTGTTGAGTTTGTTTGAACACAGTAATAATGTATTTAATTAATTTGATTATTAAAATGACAAATTCAGGTTTGGTCACATTCAACAGATGAGTATTTGATAATAGTTTATATATATATATATATATATATATATATATATATATATATATATATATATATATATATATATATATATTATGTTATTATTATTAATATTATCATGTTGAATAATTGTGGCTCAGTCAGGAGCACTGTGGCCTCACAGCAAGAATGTCACTGGTTCGAGTCCCGGCTGGGTCAGCTGGTGTTTCTGTGTGGAGTTTGCATGTTCTCCCCGTGTTGGCGTGGGTTTCCTCCGGGTGCTCCGGTTTCCCCCACAGTCCAAACACATGCGCTATAGGGGAATTGATGAACTAAAATGGCTGTAGTGAATGAGTGTGTGTGTGTGAGAGAGAATACGTTTGTTTAGGTGTTTCCCAGTACTGGGTTGCAGCTAGAATGTAAACATAAGCTGGAAAAGTTGGCAGAATGGGGAAGAAAGGAGATTTAAGAGACTTTGAACGTGGCATGGTTGTTGCTGCCAGACGGGCTGCTCTGAGTATTTCAGAAACTGCTGATCTACTGGGAATTTCACGCACAACCATCTCTAGGGTTTACAGAGAATGCTCCGACAAAGAGGAAATATCCAGTGAGCGGCAGTTCTGTGGGTGCAAATGTCTTGTTGATGAGGCCAGAGGTAAGAGGAGAATGGCCAGACTGGTTCCAGCTGATAGAAAGGCAACAGTAACTCAAATAAGCACTCGCTACAACCGAGCTCTGCAGAAGAGCATCTCTGAACACACAACACGTCCAACCTTGAGGCGGATGGGCTACAGCAGCAGAAGAGCACACCGGGTGCCGCTCCTGTCAGCTAAGAACAGGAAACTGAGGCTACAATTCACACAGACTCACCAAAACTGGACAATAGAAGATTGGAGAAACGTTGCTGCTCTGATGAGTCTCCATTTCTGCTGACACATTCGGATGCTCGGCTCACAATTTGGCGTTAACAGCATGAAAGCATGGATCATCCTGCCTCGTATCAGCGGCTCAGGCTGGTGGTGGTGGTGTAATGGTGTGGGGGAGATTTTCTTTGGGTCCATTAGTACCAATTGAGCATCAACGCCACAGCCTACCTGAGTATTGCTGCTGACCATGTCCATCCCTTTATGAGCACAGTGTCTCCATCTTCTGATGGCTACTTCCAGCAGGATAACGCAGCATGTCATAAAGCTCATCTTTGCTGATCATCTCAGACTGCTTTCTTGAACATGACGATGAGTTCACTGTACTCAAATGGCCTCCACAGTCACCAGAGCTCAATCCAATAGAGCAGCTTTGGGATGTGGTGGAACGGGTGATTGGCATCATGGATGTGCAGCCGACGAATCTGCCGTAACTGTGTGATGCTATCATTTCAATATGGAGCAAAATCTCTGAGGAATATTTCCAGTAGCTTGTTGAATCTCTGCCATGAAGGATTAAGGCAGATCTGAAGTCAAAAAGGGTCCAACCTGATACTCGTAATGTGTACCTAATAAAGTGGCCGGTGAGTGTATTGTCTGGGTAATAATAATAACAATAATAATGATAACAACACATTTCGAATTTGATAATACTTCTTTTGTTGTTGTTATTACTTTATTTTATTTATTTGTTTATTTGACATCACAATTACACAGGACAACCCAGATGAGGCTTGACATATTACACATAACAATAAAAAGAAAAGAAAATAAACACATATATAATTATAAATCTATCGTTTATTTAATAATATTAATTACATTATATTTTGTTTACATAAACACCTGTAAGACTAAAGCAAAGGCAGCACATTAGTTTTGTTTCACTTTATTACACTCGACCAATCATAAGTCGTTCTCGTGTCGCAAACCCCGCCCTCTTAGCGGCCCCTCCCACCTGTCATGTTAGTCACTACTGTACCAACTCGACCGGTTAAACTCAGTCAAAATGCTAATGTTTAATGATTAACCCGCACATTTACTCGTGTTTGATTGTGTAACATGTCGAGTGTGTACAGACGGACAGGTTGAGGAGGTTAAATTAGTTCCAGACAGCATGTTAACATCAGTCTCCAGCGCTCCAGAGGAAAACCGAGTCTGAGAAACCGAAACCAGAGCAGAAAATGACGGTAAACGACGAAAGTAAACACGGTAGACTCGCGAAGTTCCTCTCCGCCACCTTTTACGCTTTCTGCTCGTTCCTCATCATCGTGATCAACAAAAGTATTTTAACGGAGTATAAGTGAGTCTCAACTTCCGGTTCATGTATTAATATATGGACATATTCATATGAATTAACGTTTTCATGAGGTGTTTGTTTGTTTATGTGACAGGTTTCCCTCGTTTATGTTTCTCGGAATCGGCCAGGTGAGAAACACCTATTATATACATGGATATATTACACAAACACCTATTAACGCGTATATATTAGTGTATATATCTGTAAATTAGCAGATTTCCGTATTGTGTGATTCATATTTTTATTTAATTGTGCTTTTGAATTGCATTATTGAAGCTTAATATTACACAAACACGTATTATATACATGTATACATCACATAAACTGTGTATATATGTGCAAATTAGCAAATTTCCCTATTTTGTTATGCATGTTTTTATTTATTTGCGGTTTTGAATTGCAATTCAAAACCGCAAATAAATAAAAACATGCATAACAAAATAGGGAAATATTACATAAACACTTATCATATACACACATATATCACATAAACAGTGTACATATCTGTTAAGTAGCAGTTTTTCATATTTTGTGATGCATATTTTATTTATTTGTGCTTTTAAATTGCATTATTAGAGCTTAATATTACATAAACACTTATATTATACATGCATACACCACATAAACAGTGTATATCTGTAAATTAGCAGATTTCCCTATTTTGTGATTCAGGTTTTTATTTATTTGTGCTTTTAAATTGGATTATTAGAGCTTAATATTACACAAACACTTGTTATATACATGTATACATCACAAAAACAGTGTATACTCTGTAAATTAGCAGATATCCGTATTGTGTGATTCATATTTTTATTTATTTGTGCTTTTTAATTGCATTATTAGAGCTTAATATTACATAAACACGTATTATATACACATGTATATGTCACATAAACAGTGTATATGTCTGTAAATGACCTGTTTTCTGT